CCCCCCCGGCCAGCTCCTGGCAGTGTCCTGCAGTCTCGCAGAGTCTCGTACATCGGTCCGGGCCTTGTGCGATTCCCGGAGCTTGTTCAAGGAAAAGAATGACACTGGTCTGAGACAATTAGTTTAGTTAGATTCAATTTTTTAAAAACCCATTCCATTTTTTTAAATTCCGGAAAGGCATTTTGGTTTACAATGGTAAACATACATATATTACGTACATAATTATAAATACATACATATATAGATACACAAACGACACATATTATACATACATAAATACACAATTACACCAATACAGAACAATTTCAATATCAAGCCATTGCTGATTGCCTCTGTGCAACGCTCTTTAGTAAAGTTTTTGTTTGTTTGTTTTTTTAAAAAGCGCTTTGTGGCATTTTCAACACATTTAAGGCATATGAGTGCCTAAGAGTAGATTTATTACAAGAGAGTTTAGTTTAGTTTTTAAAAAGTTTCAGTAAGAGTCTTACGGCACTTGCAATGCAATTAGGTCCTGTATGTGATGACGCTGACAATGGTTTTTTTTGGTAAGAGTTTTAGGGTACTTGCAACACAATAAGGTCATTTAAGTGCCGAAGAATAGATGTGTTGCAAGAGAGTAATATACACAAAAAAAGTAGGAGCAGTTATAGATATAGACGATAGATGTTTGATAGAAAAGAAGAAGCAAACCACACAAGAGCACCCGCCAACCACCCACGTGATGAAGTTTGGAGGTGTTACAAGAGAGTCTCAAACACGAAAATGGAAGCGAGATAAGGACGACAGATGTTTGACATGCAAGAAAGAGCAAAGCCCACCACAGCACTCGACAATCACCCATTCAGATAAGAATTTCGACTGAGGTCATAAAGATAAAATATAATGTAAACCAACAATATGGGAGATATAAACAAAAACAAAGACACAGGTAGATAGAATACCCCCCCCCCCCAGGGCGGTGCTACTGACTGAAGTGTCTTTAGGCCATTCCCAAAGGGGGGATATTAACATGTTCTTATGTACAGTAGAACTGTAAATGGGCTGAGACATCAATGTCATGCTCATAATAGTCATAACAGTGCCTGAACTACAACAGGGAACTGCTACTTTTTCTTTCCTAACCTTTACTTTCGTCATTTTTTCCTCTACTTCTTTTGTATGTTTGTCACATTCTTGTGAACTGCTATTTCCGGGTGCTTTAATAGTGGAAGCAGACTTTGTGCTGTAGAAACTAGAGAGGTGACTAGAGTAAGACTGATTCCCTGTAAAGACTTCTCTGTTGACATCCACACCTTGGCGCCCATATAACCTTATGCAGTTGCGAGCGCCGTAAAGATACTAAAACTAAACTAAAAAACTGTGTCAAATAAGGGGTAAAACACCCACATTTACATATCTCTTGTAGAACTAGTGCAGGATTATCACACCAACGTTCCTGTCACATCATTAAAACACTGTCCCGTCTAGACATTTAGAATTGAACTTTTTTTTGCTTTTAGTTTTTAATAAGGTTCTACGGCGCCAAATTGAACGATTGCGTCATAACTAGCGCTCAGTGGTAAGTAAGTCGATCTAAATTTTGTCAATGGGGTCGTAAAAACTTTTTTTTTTTTAAGAGCAAGATAGTTGGTCGGTTTTAAGGACAAGCAGGCTAACCAGATTTCGGGGGTTTCCAGAAATCTTGACCTACACCAAAAGAGGGCATTTCCCTACCTATAGGAGAAGTTTGGTTTCATTGGTGAGTATATTTGTTTGGTTATAGAGAAAACTCTCCTTGTCTTTTAATGAAACTGAACGAGAGGCAAAACTTTTACCTTATATTTTATCAAAACAGCATTTTAGAGATAGCCCCCTTGTGCTTAAAAGCGACCAGTTTAGAAATAGACATTCTCACCTCGAAGTGTATGGCGTCACTCTTACTTTCTGGAATGTGATTTCTCGTCTCGCTGGAGTAGGAGTTGTCGTCTGTTGAATGCCCCAAACACGCCAGTCCAAAATATCCGCTGACCCCTGGAACACGAGTCAACAAGACACTTTTCTCAAGTTTGCCGTCTGTGCAGGAAGCTTGCGAAACCAAGGGCAGCGGGAAATTTGAGTCGTAGTTGGGTAGATTTGAACTGACGATTGGACACAACGTATGGGCAGTCTGGGCGGAAGGACTTCTGTAACGAACGACCACACCACAAACGCACAAAAAAAGACCGAACCGTAACCATAACTCTGATACAAAACCAAGCCCTAACCATAATCCCAACTTTAACCCAAACCGTCACCCCAAACCCCAACCCCAACCCCAACATAAACCCTAGCCTTAACCCCCACTCCAACACAAATCCTATCCTTAACCCTAACCCTCACTCTAACTCTAACTCAACTCTAACTCTAACCCTAACCCCAAAACCCCAAACATCAAACCCCAAAACCCCAAACATCAAACACCTCCCACCCCCCCCCCCACCCCAACACAAACCTTAACCCTAACCCTCTATCTCTTTCAAAGCGGTCGCTAGTTACGAAACTCCCCCACCCCCCTCCTCACCCGTGCGGTAGGACAGTTTGCAGACCGCTGACACTGCTGTGGCATCCCCCGCGCTACAAGTAGGCGTGTCCCAGCTGGAGATCTGGCAAGTCCATCAGCTGGTCTCTGCTTATGTCCTCTAGGTCTGGTGGGAGATCACTGACAAGGTCAGAATTGTGAGACTGACCAGTTGCCCCTTGGCTGCTCTCCGGAGACGTGTCAAAGCCAGACGAAGAGCTATCTGTCGTCTGCGGGATGGGGAGAGGAGAATTGTCCTCGTGACTTCCGCCCGACGAGGGTGAGCTCCCCTGGCCGCCACCACAAGCTCTGAGTATCTCCTCCAACAGTGGCGAGAGGAAGGAACCCGAGGTTGTCTCTCTTCTCGGCCGTGTGTCTCCGGAATCCGGCGGTTGAGGGATGGGTGACCAGGAAATTCTGCTGGGGCCAGGCCCGTCGTTTTGCTGAGGTTGGTTCTGCGAGGTATCGTTGTGTACGGACGACGGGCGGTCGGGAGCAGATCTGTCCCCAGGTCTATCACAGTTCTGAACCGCTACTGGTTGCTGGGACAGTACGGAAGATAACTCAGCTTGTAGGGTCTGCTGGATCAACATGCCAGGCCCTGCAGTCGAAGACACCGATACCCCGGCCGTGCTACTCACTTTGGTCTCACTGGTCAAACTGACCACACCGGCCGCACTGACCACACAGACCCCACGAGTCACACTGGTCCCGGCCTCGGATGTCTCCAGAAATGCCCCAGCAGGCTCATCCTCTGTGGGATCTCCCTCTTGTTCATCGTACCCCATGTCGCTGAGTGTTTCCTCGTCGTCTTCTTCAAGTAGACCGTAACTGTATTTAGACGACGTCGCCGGTAAGTCTCTCTTAGTGATTCTGTAAAATTCAAGCTGCTCTTGAGTCATCCCGTCTTTTGGTGTGCCGTGATTTGAACTATGAGTGCTTCTAAAGCTTCCTTTTTGAGCTGCGGTCGTGGTAGTGTCATTATTGTCAGGAGCTTGAGGCTCCCTTTCGGTCAACTTCTCGAGCAGAGCTCTGCTACACTTGAATCCCCGGGCCTTTATCTGCTTTTCCATTTCCCTCAGACAAAATTCCCGCTGTCGATCTGCCCGGGTCACGTGGGGCGACGTGTTGCTTCCGTCTGCAGCTTGACGGGGACGTTTGGAGGCCTGACTCGTGTGTGGAGGCTCGTGTGAGACCGGCACTGGTGTCGCTTGGTGTGGGTTTATTCCTTCCCGCTCTAGCTGTCCGGAGCTTACAGGACGCATGCGTGTATCCCCAGACTCAAGGGGTGTGTCTGTTTGTTGCAAAAACTGCTCACCATCCCCTCTCGCGTCTGAAAGTGACCGTTTCATTTCACCAGGAGACGGACTTGAGGTTAATTGATTTGTCTCCCCCGAGGAAACCGCTCTCGACGTTGAAGGCCCTCTGGTCAATGTTCCGCCCCGTTTCAATTCTGACTCGGATTCCTTTTGAACAGAATCAGAAGACGGAGCTGTGTGTGCCCGTACAGACGAGTCAGACGATGACGTAATTTCACTCTGAGAACGGCCGCGCGCCCGAGTGAAGGAGAGCTGAGACTCTCTTCTCTTTTTGGCCGGGGACACACCTTCCTCGTGTGGAGCGCTGGTTCCCGACCCAGGGGACTGCCGAGCGGTCAAATGTGCGGGGCTGTCACTGGAGGCCACTTCCCTGTTGGCCGTGTTCCGGGCCACACGTTTCCCAGGATTTCTAACGGTTTTCCCTTCTGGAGTTCCACCAGTGGGCGAGGGTTCTGATGCTGGTGGTCCTAAAGCTGGTCTCTGGGGTTCACTGGCCCTCATTTCGTCAGGGCTCCCATACAAGGCTGGCCCTGCAACTCCGACGGACTGCATAGTATTCGGTAATCCGGATAAACACGTCATAACACGTGGGCTCCAGGCTGTGCCAGTCGGTGACCAGATCGGCTGCGGTGATGTGACTCTGCCCGAGGACACAGGCTCTGGTTCTGTGAGGGAAAGTGACACAGAACGGGATGGGTCAGAGGTTTAGTTTTAGTAAGAGTTTTACGGCACTTGCAACACAATAAGGTCATATAAGTGCCGAAGATTAGAGGTGTTACAAGAGAGTAACAAACACAAACAAGAAAGAGGGGAGATGAAGACGATAGATGTTTGACAGGAAGGAAGGAGCAAACCACACCAGAGCACCCGCCAATCACCCACTGAGATGGGTCACAGGTGAGAAGAGGTGAAGAGACGCCATTGGTATTTCCTTGCCGACCAGGTCTCGGTGGGCTCGATATGTCTTTGGAAAATGGCGAAACAGAACAATTTTAGTTTTAGTAGAGGTTTTACAGCGCTCGCAACTACGTAAGGTCATTTGAGCGCTAGAAGATTAGAGGTGTTAAAAGAGAGTAACAAACATAAAAAAGAAGAAGGGGAGATAAGGATGATAGACGTTTTATGGGAAAAAGAAGCCAACCATACCAGATCACCCGCCAACCAATCACGAGACAGATCAGGGACGATCGGAAGGGACACGAGAAAGAGACATACCTTTAGCTTCTCCTGAGTTGTTCCCCTCGATAGGTCTCGGCTGACAAGGAGAGGTTCTCGGAGCGTGCTGTATTAAGCTATTGGGGTTATGGAGAGCGCCAGTAGAGTCTGCGGTGGTTGTTGGGAGGTAGCCACCACCCGTGGACGTCTGAGGCATGATGGGGATGGCGCAGTTCTCGTGCATTAGGCAGAGGTCCCTCGGCGACCTGGTAACTGTGGTCCCACTGCGCACACTAGTCACACTGCAGAGCACCCGCCAACCACCCTCTGTGTCAGAGGTGAGAAGAGGTGAAGGGGATGGGTCAAAGGTGATTTTAGCTTTAGTAGGTGTTTTACTGCACTTGCAATACAATAAGGTCATATAAGTGCCGAAGATCAGAGGTGTTACAAGAGAGTAACAAACACAAAAAAGAAGGAGGGGAGATGAAGACGATAGATGTTTGACAGGAAGGAAGGAGCAAACCACACCAGAGCACCCGCCAACCACCCACTGAGATGGGTCACAGGTGAGAAGAGGTGAAGAGACGCCATTAGTTTTTCCTTGCCGACCAGGTCTCGGTGGGCTCGATAGGTCATTGGAAAATGACGAAACAGAACCGCTTTAGTTTTAGTAGAGGTTTTACAACGTTCGCAACTGCGTAAGGTCATTTGAGCGCTAGAAGATTAGAGGTGTTAAAAGAGAGTAACAAACATAAAAAAAGAAGAAGGGGAGATAAGGATAATAGATGTTTCATGGGAAAGAAGAAGCCAACCACACCATATCACCCGCCAACCAATCACGAGACAGACCAGGGACGATCAGAAGGGACACGAGAAAGAGACATACCTTTAGCTTCTCCTGAGTTGTTCCCCTCGATTGGTCTCGGCTGACAAGGAGATGTTCTCGGAGCGTACTGTGTTAAGCTATTGGAGTTGAGGTAGCGACCACCCGTGGACGTCTGAGGCATGATGGGGATGGTGCAGTTCTCGTGCATTAGGCAGAGGTCCCTCGGCGACCTGGTAACAGTGGTCCCACTGCTCACACTAGTCACACTTGCCACTGTGTGTGGATCTTGCAGGGAGGACGCACTGTCTGTTTCCGTTGTCTGTACGTGATGAACTCCAGGTGCACCAAAGGGAGACCATCCGCCCTCGTTCGCCGACACGTCTGTTGCCATAGCCGCTGCCGTATTGTCCTGGGCGGGGTGAGTCTCGCCGGGTGGCAGAGTTGAGATACGCTCGTGAGCTCCTGCCCTTGAGGACTGTGTGAGATCTGACGCTCTGATATACATCGATGCTGCTGCGGTGTCGTTTGGTTCACTTCTGTCACTTCTGTCGTCCGTTAAAGCAGGCGGATATCTAGCTCTCTCGGAGCGCCTCTCATCTGGTGGGGTGGCAAGAAGAAAACGTTCTTGTGATTGCCCTGTGCCCAGGGGTGTGAGGACAGTTGGAAGCTGGGGACTGTCTCCGTCTGGTCGCACGCTGCTCAACCTTTGACTCAAAGACGGAACAAGGGAGGGGTTCGTGCATGTAACACGTGACGTCATCATAACACTCGGGCTCCAGGCTGCGGTAGATGGTGACGTCATCGTAACACGTGGGCTCCGGGCTGTGCCAGTTGGTGACGCAATCATAACTCGTGGGCTCCAGGCTGTGCCAGTTGGTGACCAGGTCGGCTGAGGCGATGTGACTCTGTCCGTGGACACAGGCTCTGGTTCTGTGAGCGGAACTGGCACAGAACAGGATGGGTCTGAGGTTTAGTTTTAGTAAGAGTTTTACGGCACTTGCCGCGCAACAAGGTCATATAAGTGGCGAAGATTTGAGGTGTTACAAGAGAGTAACAAGCACAAGAAAGAAGGAGGGGAGATGAGGACGATAGATGTTTGATAGGAAAGAAGAAGCCAACCACAACAGATCACCCGCCAACCACCCACGAGACAGATCAGGGACGATTAGAAGGGACACGAGAAAGAGACATACCTTTAGCTTCTCCTGAGTTGTTCCCCTCGATAGGTCTCGACTGACAAGGAGAGGTTCTCGGAGCGTGCTGTATTAAGCTATTGGGGTTATGGAGAGCGCCAGTAGAGTCTGTGGTGGGTGTTGGGAGGTAGCGACCACCCGTGGACGTCTGAGGCATGATGGGGATGGCGCAGTTCTCGTGCATTAGGCAGAGGTCCCTCGGCGACTTGGTAACAGTGGTCCCACTGCTCACATTAGTCACACTGAAGAGCACCCGCCAACCACCCACTGTGTCAGAGGTGTTAAGAGGTGAAGGGGATGGGTCAGAGGTGAGGAGAGAGGAATGGGTAATATTTTGTATTAGTAAGAGTTTTATGGCACTTGCAGCACATTAAGGTCATATAAGTGCCGAAGATTAAAGGTGTTACAAGAGAGTAACCAACACAAAAAAGGAAGGACGGGAGATAAAGACGATAGATGTTTGATAGAAAGGAAGGAGCAATCCACACCAGCGCACCTGCACAATCACCCTTTGGGTCAGAGGTGAGAAGAGGGGAAGGGGGTGGGTCAGAGGTGAGAAGAGGTGAAGGGGGTGGGTCAGAGGTGAGAAGAGGTGAAGGGGGTGGGTCAGAGGTGAGAAGAGGGGAAGAGGCACTAGCGTTTTATCCAGGCCCACCAGCTCTAGGTCATTGGAAAATGGCGAAACAGAACAGTTTTAGTTTTAGTAGAGGTTTTACGGCGCTCGCAACTGTGTAAGGTCATATGAGCGCCAGAAGATTAGAGGTATTAAAAGAGGGAAACAAACATAAAAAAAAGAAGAAGGGGAGATAAAGATGATAGATGTTTCATGGGAAAGAAGAATCCAACCACACCAGATCACCCGCCAACCAACCACGAGACAGATCAGGGACGATCGGAAGGGACACGAGAAAGAGACATACCTTTAGCTTCTCCTGAGTTGTTCCCCTCGATAGGTCTCGGCTGACAAGGAGAGGTTCTCGGAGCGCACTGTGTTAAGCTATTGGGGTTATGGACAGCGCCAGTAGAGTCTGTGGTGGGTGTTGTGAGGTAGCCACCACCCGTGGACGTCTGAGGCACGATGGGGATGGCGCAGTTCTCGTGAATTTGGCAGAGGTCCCTCGGCGACCTGGTAACAGTGGTCCCACTGCTCACACTAGTCACACTGGCCACTCTGTGTGGTTCTTGCAGAGAGGACACACCGCTCGACAAGGCCGGAGCAGTTGTTGGAGGAGGAGATGTGGGAACTGTGTCCTGGGCGTTAGGTGGTGCTGGAGACTCCGCCAAAAATCTGAACATAGATGCGTACTGGGCGTTCGCGGCTTGAGCCTCCGTGGAATGAAGCGGGCGTAGGAAAAAGACGATGTCGAGTGCCGTGGGTTCGAGTCCAGAACTTGCTGGTGTTCCGTCAACTTCGTCATCATCTTCTCTCTTGTTGTTGTTCTCCTCCTGAGTGGAATCCCCGGCCACATCCTCCTCGCTATCCTCGTTCCCGTTTGTTGCTGGCGGCGAGCCTGTGGCCTGGCCCCAGTCGATGTACTCGTGAGGCTCGTAGCCAGTGTGCTCCATTGCGGGAACGGGAGAATCTTCCAACACACACACCCTAGGCCCTACCTCCACTCACTGGCCCTGGTAAACTGCTCACTCGCAGGGCACAGAAGTCGGAACACAGTCGCAGGATTCATTGTGGACGGACAAGAACACACCAACTAGGCTAACTAACCTGTGTAGTTTTCTGAAAACGTTGGCTACCATAAGCGGAAAATAATCCCTCCTCCCTCCCCCGCCTTATCAAACAACAACAGAACACACAATGCACACACACACACACACACACACACACACACACACACACACACACACACACACACACACACACCCACACGCACACACACACACAGAGCCCCCCCTCCACTCACACAAACACACAATACACATCTAAAAAAGCAGAAGTAATAAATACATTTTTGAAATGAAGTAGAGCGAAAAAGGGGGGAAGGGGGGGGGGGGGGGGTTACATTAAAAAAATAATATAACTTCAACTGGCTAAAAACTAGAAAACATAAATATTTTTAAAAAGTAAATACATTGAAAAGTTTAAACGTTAACTCTGGAAAGAAGCACATGGCCGAATTCATGACTACAAGTTGTGAACAAACCGAGTGGGCAATGCTTCTGTCCAGTGCACACTGTTGATCTAACTCATCGGATGGAGTCGGGGCCAGACAGATTGGTCGCTTTACACACGGCTATCCCGAAAAATGCTGTTTTGAGGAAATCAAAGGTAAAGATTTTGGACCCTTGTTCAGTTTCTTTAAAAGACAAGGAGAGTTTTCTCCATAACCAAACAAATATACACACCAATGAAACCAAACTTCTGTAATAGGAAGGGCAATGCCCATTTTTGGTGTAGGTTAAGAATTCTGGAAACCGCGGAATCTGGGTTAGCCCGCTTGTCCTTAAAAGTGACCAATTATCCTGCATGAATAGAACAAAGGCCACCATCTTGGCACAATACGACCGAATTCAACAAAATTCGACTGTCACCTTCAAAATCAAACGCAGTTGTTTTTCAAGTTTGCCAGTCGAATGTGTTGTATTGTTCCATATAAATGGTAACTTTGGCCCCATCCAGGAAGGAAAATCTGTCTGGGCTCGACTCGATGCAATGAATCTGACTGGCAGTGTGCACGGTCCATAATGAATAATTGAGCTCTGAGTTGACGGAGGCGGGTGCACTGTGAGCAAACACACTGTCGAACACACTGTTAGACACACTGTCGCTCCCACACAAGGACAATATTCAGGGCTCTCTCTCTCTCTCTCTCTCTCTCTCTCTCTCTCTCTCTCTCTTTTTCTTTCTCTCTCTCTCTCTCTCTCTCTCTCTCTCTCTCTCTCTCTCTCTCTCTCTCTCTCTCTCTGTGTCTCTGTCTCTGTCTCTCTATGTCTCTGTCTCTCTCCCCCCGTACCCCCCCCTCTCTCTCTCTCTCTGTGTCTCTGTCTCTGTCTCTCTATGTCTCTGTCTCTCTCTCTCCCCCCTACCCCCCTCTCTCTCTCCCCCCCTACCCCCCCCTCTCTCTCTCTCTCTCTCTCTCTCTCTCTCTCTCTCTCTCTCTCGTGTCTCGTGTCTCGTGTCTCGTGCGTCCAGTACTGTGTTCGTGCTGTGTAAAAATTCTGCTCTTCGCAGACGAAACATTTTTTTTCTTATCACAACAGACATATCAATGATTTTCGTGGTTGGTTTTTGTTTGTTCGTTCGTGTTTTTTTGTTGTTTGGGGGGGGGGGGGGGGGTTGTTTTTAAATAATTTCCAAACAAAAGTGTATCAACTGTTGCGATCTCGCACCCTAACGAGAATGTTATTCTCAATGCTCAATAAAAAAAAACTTCGCTATATTTCTTTGCTTGAGGAATAAAATAATCCAATAATAATACTTTCTGTCAGATTCACTTTAAACAAGTGGTTTTAACAATAAGGCTTTATTTAAAGGGGTCCACAGACA